GGGGGTTGCATATATATATATATAATGGGGTTATAAAGGGATAATGGGAAAGAACATGGAAACTGCTATAGTATAATAGGGTATATATTCCAGGCAACCATTCTTTGTGCAACTCCCCAGTCCTCAGTCATGCCCTTAATGATGTTGCCCTTAATGATGTTCCAAGCTAAAAATCTCATCGCTCCGCAGATCGTGAAACTTCAATGACAAAACATACCATGGTTTGAGGGTGGTATGTTAGCGTATTAGTGCAACGGGTGGACGGTAGGTTGTGCAGCTCGGAGGGAGTCCCACGAGGTGGCCATTTATCAAAATTCGGCCTCCATCTCTAGAAGTGAGGATCAAAACTTTGCAAAATAAGATGCAAAGCAATGATGACCCTAAAGCCTCTAAGTCGAAGTTTCTGAGGATTACCTTCTTTAGCGGGCTATGCGGAGCCCTTATAGGAAAAACTGCGTTGAGGCGAGCTTTGCGAAATCCCTTGTAGTAGGAAAACTGAGGCAGCAGCAGCGAACATTGAATTCGTCACGACCCGAAATTCTCGCGTCCCAACCTAAATTCGTCACGACCCGAAATTCTCGCGTCCCAACCTAAACCTAAACCCCCGAACAGTAGGTAAAATAATAGACTGTTGGATCATTCAAGGGCTTTGGATCATTATTTTACCTACTTGTGGGGTTTAGGAAATCGTTACTGCATACCTGCGGTCGTCACCGAAGATGTGGCAGGGGTCTGCTGAGGAGTCTTGTCTGTAGGCACATATGAGCTGCAGTCTAAACTCCTAGTATGCCCTTTATAATCCCTGTAATACTCCCCTGTAGAATCCCCCATATAACCCGCTCTAAGGAGTTTAGACCCTAAACCCTGAACCCTTTATATAATTCCCAAAATAAACCCCCTTCAAGGAGTTTAGACCCTAAACCCAGAACCGTAAACCCATAACTCCTTTAGACTATAGCTCAGATCAGACGGGCCAGCACCAGCCATAAGCTCTAAGATCTGCACTGTGGCGTTGATGCAGCAAGTGAAGGATAGAGTTCCTTTGCGCGGTTAGGGTTTAGGGTTTAGGGCTCAGGGTTTAGGGTTGTGAAGGATAGAGCTCCTTGGCCACGGGCACTTGGAGGGTCAGGGGGACTTAGTACGTAGGCCAAGAACGGGCATAAGTAGAGTCACTGTATGGGTATTAGGGGTTATGAACCTACTTGCTAAACTTGGCGTCTTGGAATTTTCTTTGCTGGGGTTTGAGGCATCTGCTCAACTTGTCCAAGTGATATGAATGACATCCTTATAGAATGCTTCATCGTGTGCTCACGATCTTTTCCTGAAGTACTGGCGATGACTTCTCGAGCTGCTCAGAACCTACCCCTGAACACAACAGTGATGGCAAACCAAACCGCTACAAGAGCAAACGGTGGTTGTAGAAGAGCTGGCAAAGATGAAGCGCCAAGCAGCTCCATGCAGACAGTCACGAATCTTACCTCCTCGCGAACCACAGGAGAAGTTGTGGGACATGAGTTGGACTTGACATTTCTGAGAACAGCCTTTATCTGCGTATAATCATTGCGAAGCTCTAGGGTTATGATTAGTATAAATGACAAAAGGGCATGTCATATTGTATGACCTGGCTATAACCTACCCGGGTCTTTATAGGGTGTTTGATGAGCAGAGAACGGCTCACTTTCAGTAGGGATCCACGTAACAAAATGTAGCAAGATCTGCAGACTTTAGGACCCAATGCACGTAATAGTTACAGATTATACGGCCAAAGTAGGTATTATTTGTAGAAGTGGATCCCTTAAGCCCTTAAATATTCCTATAATCTCCGAAATAACCGAAATGTTCATGTTCAATTGTCCTTTTTTCTTTTTGATTCTCCATAGTTGTATACTTGGATCCCTAAACCCTAAATCCCAAACCCTTAACCCGGGGGATCCTTCCCGTTGCTTGCGTTTCGGAGATTCTTCTGTAGACGTGCTCCAGTCTATTCAACAAGACTGGCATCCAGAACTTTTGGGCTGCTCATATTATGGCATGGAGCAATGGACCCCTATTTGAAGGTTTTCTTAGTGGGTTTAGGGGCGATTGAAAGCTTTTTCAAGGGTTTAGGGACCATTCTAAGTTTTTTGGGTGGGTTTATGGACTATTTAGTGCTTTTTTGGGGGTTTAAGGACTATAGCCCCAAGTGAGTGCATAAATTTCAGCTTTCGTTTCTGTTCCCCAGTTTAGTCCTAACAGCCACTGAGACAATCCTGAGGCACCTGACCTGACTTCTCCACTGTCATGGCATGTTGCCTGGGCTCTCTGGGAATGATCCCTCGCCTCACTACCTTATGTATATAACTCATAAACAACTCGTGTATACTCTCCATACACCTACGCACTCCCCAGAGAGGGTGCCCCACAGGGTCCTTAGATGGGCCTTGCAAGGGCTAAATGATGACCTGAAGCCACTACATATTCTAAAGCCCTAAAACGTAGACGGAAACAAAGGGTTGTAAGAGCATACTTCCCATGCAATCCGCAGTGGCTAGGAAGGGTAATCAAGAGGCCTCTGAACATCTGAGACACCCAAAACTTCTAAAACCTAAAAACCCTTGCGGCCATCCTTGCGCTTTTGCCCGAGACGTCGCAGTCGACCCCTCATCTGATGACGCGAGGCCGCATTGCCCGCATAGGCGCCCGTCACCATGATGCCAAGGCCTTAGTAGACATTTGAAGGGACCCCAATAGGAGAGACCCCTCCGAGAAGAATAGGTAGAAGGAACTTATACGGGAACCGAGCCTGCATTTATCATCATGACACTTGCTAGCAACCAACGTCAGGATGGATTTGCCAATGGCTGCCTTGCATTTGCTCGATGATATTCTGCACGCTTTACAGGTCCTTCAGCGCATAGGTTCTCCATAAGCCCTGAAACCATGCTGGAACCTTAGCTCCTGTACTCTAAACCCGTTTTGTTACATGAGCTATTTTCTAAACTCCTAGTATCCCCCTTAATATCCCCTATTAGTACCCCCCCTATATAATCCCGTACATAATCCCCTTTAAGGAGTTTAGATTATGTATCACATAGATCCGGCCCAGGGGCGTCGCGCTGAGTTGTAGCCCCGGTCCTTGTCCTGCACACTTCGAAAAACTGAGCTTCTCGAACTTGGAGCATCTTCGGGGTTTACGGTTTAGTGTTTGGGGTTGTTCCTAGTGGTAACCAAGAAAAACAGGGGGTTTATGCAGGTCCTTCTTCTGGAGCATCTGTGATAATTTTGACTCACAAACTGCGGAAATTGGCTGGCCGTATATGGGGGGGTGCGCGGAGTGATGGGCACCTTTTGGGGGGGGGCCTTATGATAAGGTTTATAGTATTTTTGGGTCTATATTGGGGGGCCCTAAGTAAGGAACCTACCATATTCAAACCCCGAAGAAGATGATTTGGCATGATTTGGTTATGGCAACTGTACCACCCAGCTCTGTGTAAATAGTTCACAATGCCATGACTGATGCTACATTTACGTAATGCTGCCGCTTAACACTGCCATCACATCTCTGGCTCTCTCTCTTTTCCATTGCTGCAATGATACCTGCTATTCTTCATTGCGGATCTTACTACTCATGAAAGGATGACAAAGACTTGCAATCAAATCCCAGCAGGTGACCAGGATGAATAGCAGTCATCTGCTTCATGTTGCAATCTGCAAGCACTTTTGGGCAAGCAATTTGGTAGCTCGCAGCAAAACAAACCTACGAATTGATCTGCGTGACCCAGCCCTTCCCCACTCTATGTGTACCTTGGCTCAAGCGATGCCTGCTGGCTTGCACGAACAAGTGTCCATACTGCTACTGCAGCTGGCTAACGAGGCTTCAGTATTCGGCTCCTTCTCCTCCTCCTAAGTACTGCTGCTGTGACTATGACCACCAACACCACCACAGTTTGTAGCTGGCTGTTTAATTCATCAATCTTCTTGAATGACCAACATTTCCGCCAGGGCTTAGGGAGTATGTACCCCTCTCCACCGTGCACACGCCATTCGCGAAGTTGAATAATTCAGTGCTAGCCTGCATACAGGAAGCCCTGTGTAAAGTGTGTGACGCAAGCGCTTGTTTCAAACTCTATCATGCCTGGCTTCTGCTTGTGATGGGCATCGCTCAGGAGCTGCAGGATCGTCTGCGACTTCAGAAATACTTCTCCATACAATGCACCGCAACCCCCCAAACTTCCCACCCTCCCAAATTTCAAGTACACTCATCTGGCCTTCGTCACGACAACGACTGCAAAGCGCTTGGCGTCTGGTGCTTCCAAGGAAGCGAAATCGCCCGTGGGAAGATGAGGGCTGCAAAGCTCTCGCAGCTTCGCCGCATGTTGCAACCTGGGTTGCCCGTCTACGCTTTTAGCGACACCGGACCATCAGTAGCGCCGCAACATGTAGCATTCAAACCGCTGTTTCTTTTAATTGTGCAATGCCGAGGTATACCTAACAGCCCTAAACAAACACATCCTGTGAGTTCCAGGCGTCCAAACCACCAATGTTGCCCTCAACGTGTTAACGTTTAAAGCTGAGACTGCGGCTCATGCACGATCATCACGGGGCTACCAGGCTTTGAACTTCACATTCATCAGTCCCTTTGGCCCAGTCCGTGAGAACCCCAGCACGGGAATTCTGAATGGGTCTTACAGGCTTGACACGACCTCATGAGGCCAGAGTAGAGGTCTTATGAAGAAGTTTCGATTACAGCTGATGTGGCCAGCAGCTATTTTCCACGGCCACTTGAAGAATTATCCAAGTAGCCAATAATTATGGGGTGTCCGGCACTCTGTCAGCGATCAGCTCACTTATCCGAGCGGTGTCCCAGTACCTAAACCCTATATAACCCATTATAGTAGATTGGATCCGTATAACCCCAATATAATCCTGCTATTGCCCAAGAGCTACTTCGGGGCGACAGTTAAAGTCCAAAGTTGACTCCGGCAGGGCTTTCAAGAACCTCGCCTGAACACGTTGACAATCTCAGGACTGTTGAGATGATGGCCAATGTCAAGTCAAAGTTGGTGCCGTAACAACCTTAAGCCCCATGCTGGAACCACTGAGCCTAAAACCTGAACCCTGGACCCTAAACCACATACCTGCCCAAAATCCGAACTTTCCTGAGAACAAGCCCCAGCAACTGATCCCTGACTTCTAGAAGTACTTGGCGGAGCTCTTGACTTCGTAAGGCTACTTTGTGACAGGGGCGATGGGTTTTCTAGCTGGGCTTGCTTATTGGGCACAGTAGCTAGATTTACAAGTTCAACAGACCATCCAGCCTTGAATCACCTAAACTCTAAACCCAAAAGAACAGGAAGCGAGTCTGCAACCAGCAATACGCCACCATCCGCGTGAGTCTTGCGATCCTGCTTCGCAAGGCTCGGAGAGCTTCAAAAATGGCCCTGACGGCTTTAAGTACCCAAAATACTTGGGATTTCTAAATGTCCAAAATCATCCAGATTCTAGTATCCCTAAGGGTCTAGGTATCCAATTAATAGGATTTTAAATGCCCAAAGCCTCCAGAGTTTTGTGGGCCTTTAGCCTTGGATCCATGGTGATCTGTCCTTCTTGCATGTTCATGTTACTAGGTATTCATTGGGTACTGCCCCCTCCCCGTAACAGTCTATATTAGGGGTCCTATTAAGGGCTATATATAACCCATATTATAAGTATTATCCAACTGTTACTGAGGGGGGGCAGTACCCAAGGTATTCAGAGTTCAGATAATTGAGACTTGAGCCATCTCATGACCAGTGAGAAGGCTGAGTTAAAGTGGCCATGTGTCTTACTGGTTGTTAGGACGGAATAGGACCTAGGATTTAAGGTTTAGGGTTGAATAAGGAAAGATAAATCCTATGCAATCCCTTCAGAGTATATTCCCTTATTCCCTACTGATCTGCAGTAAGCATTTGAGCAAATCGTCTGCAGTCCTCCTTGGCAGCTTTGAGCGCAGCATCTACCATGGCTTTGTCCGTATTGTCCTGGACTACACCTCAGAGGAGCCGCCCCCTGCCCAACAGGCCCCCAACAGTGGCACATCACGGATGCGCACTGCAGGTATGTCTTGGGTCTACCCCCATCCATTAACAGCCTATAATAGGGGTCAGATTAAGGACTCCAGATACCCATGTTTTAATTAGGATCCAACTGTTAATGAGTGGGGGACATACCCAAGGTATATCTATCTGAAGGTGAGTGCTAGCGGAAGGGTGCATGCAACACTGCAGGCCAACAGCTCTGCATAAACTGCCAGAAACTTCGTGACTCATAATCCAAAGACTTAGCCTGGCTTTTGAAGAAGCCATACCCCTACAGGTCCAAGTAGCCCAATGTACGTTGTTTTCGTAGACTTTAGGGACTAAGGTAAGTATTATTTGTATCTTGGATCCCGAGAGAAAGATCCACAGTCTGCTTGCAGCAGAAGGGCGTGCCATCTCCAGCCAGCGCACCTTTGGATTCATGTTGGGGTTTCTCAACTTAGGGGTACCTTTGTGGCGGTCCCCATAATAAGGATTAGAATACTTTGGGGTCTATATCAGGGTCCCCCTCTTTTGGCAGACTACCACGTGTTTGGCATGAAATGCACTCACACACAGGGAATCTCACTCCCGTAACACGCATACCTTCAGCTTGATTTGTGGAACTCACATGTGTTTACTTCACCCCGAGGGTCCAAGTACCCAATAATTGGGTACTTGAGTTTTGGGTAATAATAGTAATTCTAGTACAGGTTTTGAAGTAATTATAAGATTTTTCGGTACTTGGACCCTTAGGGTTGGAGCCCTGGTGGAACTGATTTCAGCTGGATCTTAGGTATTTTTCACGGGGCGTGACAATTATAGGTTGCCAGGGCAATGTTTGAGCTCGAAAGAATCGCATGAGCATCTGGCCGTATGCTTCATCACCGCAGCGACTGCGTACTGAGAGTGAGGGGGGCACTGAAGTTAGAATCTGTATATATATATATACATAAGTAGGTTTAAGGGTTCAGGGTTTACTGTTTGGGGTATAGTAGATCCCCCTAATAACCCGATTTGTAGCCCTATTCCATGGTAAGCCTGCGTAAGCAGTAGGATCACCCCTAGATCCTACAAAGTAATGTTGGACCCGCTTTTGCCTTGAGGTCCGCTATAATGTGTTCTGGGGCCAGCTGATTGTCCGCTTCAGCGTGTTTTGATTTGGGGGATCTAAAATAATGTAGGAAGGCGTTCAATCCTCCTTGGTTTTTAGAAGGCATGCCTTGCAAAATCCTTTTCCATTTCAGCCTTCAGAGCTTTGGATCCAGAATCCAGATAACAAATCCAAAGCCTGCAGCCCACCGGTTTCATTTCCAACTCTTTTTCCAAACCTTACTATTCTTAGCCGAAATCATTTGGGCAAAAGGGGAAGTCCAGAAAGCCTCTGGATCCGCTTCAATGCGCATTGTTTCGAGGTCCGCTTTAATCTGGTCATCTGGCAGCCCTGGGCCCCTGTAAGTTTTGGGGCCGAGACCATCCCTTTCTAAATCAATCTCCAGAGCCCTCGGAACCAGCGGGAGGTTTGAGGGCCGTATGGAGGGGGGGGAGGGGGGGCCCCAACACTAAAGCATCCCCTCTATGCCAGTGCACCTGAGAAATAAACCGCCTCCGGACTCTAAGGGCCTGGGCAACGTGGCTTCATCCAAAGAACCACCATAAGGCTAAGGTGCTGTAGAGTTTGAAGACAGAAGCTTTCGGCACAAGGCGCGTACCTGCGTATAGCTCTACACATTTCTTGTGCTCATTCCGGGGGAGTGGGGATGGCTCATGGATCCTGCATCTCTCTCGGATTGCAGGCTGCTAGTTAGGGTTTAGGGTCTGTTTGTCTACTAGGCTCAAGGGAAAGACTGGGTTGCTGTTAAGGAACTTAAATTAAGTTACCATAATGGGTATGTATATAGTAAATAATAGGGTTTCCCCAATATAGTAACTTAATTTAAGTTCCTTAAATCCCTATATTCCTCCAGTTTCCATTTCATTTTCCATTTTCTTTTCCATTTGATTCTCCATTATAGG